CGGATTGTCAAGAGAAAGAACAACATTATTTAAATTGGATAATCAATTCCCCTTTCAGGTTTCATTGATGCATAAATTAAATAAATATTTCATTTGGACTGATGCCGTGATTGGCGCCACTAAGAGTAAGTTTCAATTTATGGTTATTGTAAACTTTTAACTGAGGTATTATTCGGGTTATATGGATTGGTAAGTTAAACAAAAAATAGCTTTTGGCGTAAGGAAGAAAGGTAAAATTATTGTAATAAGTTAAAAAGTGCATAAGTGTTAAAATCCAATACGACTGCAAGGGACAAGTTTTTGTTCCTTTTTTTACTAAGAGTGGCGCTGTTTTATTAAGAGAATAGAATTTGTAGTGCCCAATTATGATTTCTAGGAGATTATTAAGCCTACATTGACGTAGAAAGCAAATGTTGGGATATTTATTATTATTTCATTTTAGAATTTTCAGTAACCAGTTGAAGCTCGATTTAAATACATTGTTATATCATTTTCACACGGAAACTTTCTAATCTGAAACCGTAAACTCACGTATCCTTACGTAATCAACGTAATAACAGAGTCTCCAAACTAGTATACAATTAGCAGCAATACTTAAAACTGGGGATTCAAAAATATAAACCATGGAGGTCCAAGAACAGATTTTACTTCTTATTAGGGCTGTCTGATAAGTACTTAGCCTACAAAAAATATAGTCTACTTTTAGCTCGATACACTTGACCCAGCAATACTCCAACTTCTTTAACCTATCTGAAAAATACGTTTACTCGAGGTCTGCAAAGTAGACTTCCGTGACGGCGATGACCTCCTGGCGTTCGACTTAAATTTCTGCCTAGTAAGTGTCTTTACCAAGTTTGGAAATACAAAAAGTCATACGGGGTCAAATCTAGAGAATATGGTGGATTGGGCAACAGTTCGTAGCCCAATTCGACCAATTTCACAATGGCGACGGCGGAGGTATGAGCCAGTTCGTAGTCATGGTGGAAGAGTATTTTTATCTTCGCTAAGTATTTTCTGCAATTAAGGCTTCAAACCGGCCCTTAGCCGATACACAAAGCTTCTTGTGGAAACAGTCAATCCTCAAAAGCTCAACATATTCAAATCGGTAATGACCTAAAGCAAATTTTCAAGCAACAATAGTATCATACCTGGCAAACCCACTGGAACACAATCAAGAGTGCATTACATGAGATCCGGCAAGCTGTTGAAAAATTTGAACGTTCAAAAATCTCTAGAAACGAAAAAGCTGTTATCCGAAGATTATGAATAGGATATACCCAAATGACACATGAATATTTAATGAAGTCCGAGCCGAAGTCCAATTGCCAAATCTGCTTAATTGCAAGTGTATTTATAACTGTGAAACATATCCTGATCGAGTGTCCCCGGTACGCAAAACACAGAGTGCAACATACACTTAAGTCAAATATCAAAGACGTTTTAAACTCACCCCATCAACTCTTTAACCTAATTGGTTTCTTGAAAGACATTCAGTTGTTCAACAGAATATGACCACTTGTTTTTAATGTATTTTACCTTTAACTTATAACTTAGTGATAAAACAGTTATATTATTTAGTCATGTAGTCATAGTCAAATAAATTTCATGGTATCTGGACACCCTCATTAGATATCAACCAATATCAGACACATATCAATAATAAGCTTCTATTGCAGGAAACCTCCGCTAACGATATTAACGACTTGAATAACTGCATCATAAACGCCTTACAAGAAAGTCACCGAGTGCACTGTCCTAAAAGAAAATCAGATAGTAAAATAAGTCCATATACTGAAACGCTCTTGGACCAAAGAAGACAAATGAGAAGCGATAAGAATGTAGATAGCAACACTTTAAGAAAAATAAACAAAACTGTTTCGAAAGCAATTAGGAGAGATTTAAGGAAATTTAATACCGATTATATTAAACGCACTATAGAGGAAAATAATAGCCTAAAAGTTCTACGTAGAAAGCTAACGAATGGGAAATGCGAAATTCATAAATTAAGAAACAAGCAAAATGAATTAATATCACGTAGAGACGAGTTAATACAGGTCGTCAAGAGTTTTACGAGGACTTATATAGAAGTAGACGAGAAGATAAAACAGGAATACAAACAGCTATTTCAAAGAAGATCAAGAATCAAGGTTCCGAACTAATGCCAGAGATAAAGCTAGATGAGATTCGACAAGCATTAAGAAAAATGAAAAATAACAAAGCCCCAGGAGAGGATGGAATCGTAATAGAAGTTATCGTAAATGGAGGAGATATGCTATTAAATAAATTAAGGAAACTATTCAATCTATGTTTGCAGCAAAGAGAGGTGCCCAAAGAGTGGAACAATGCTACAACCATCCTTTTGCATAAAAAAGGAGATAGAACGGACCTAGAAAATTATAGACCTATTAGCCTGTTGAACCACATATACAAGCTCTTCACTAGGGTAGTGACATCAAGGTTGGAGAAAAAATTAGATTTCTACCAACAGAGAGAGCAGGCAGGATTCCGCTCAAATTATAGTACCAATGATCACCTCCACACAGTAAAAACACTCATTGAAAAATCTATAGAATATAACAAACCTCTTGTTCTCACTTTCATAGATTTTCATAAAGCGTTCGACACGATCGAATTAGACAGCCTTATAGAAGCCATGAATGACAGCAGGATTGACCATAGGTATAGTGAGCTTATTTATAATATTTATAAAAATGCCACTGTGACTGTTTAAAATACACAATAAAACCCGACCAATACAAATAAATCGTGGAATAAGGCAAGGAGATACATTGTCGCCGAAATTATTCATAACGGCATTAGAATATGCCTTTAAGATGATCAATTGGGACCACAGAGGAGTAACGATAGACGGCGAAAAGCTTAACCATCTCCGTTTCGCAGATGACATTGTCCTTATCACAGATAATTTAGGAGAAGCTACAGATATGGTAAACGAATTGGATTTTGCATGTTCGAAGGTGGGCCTGAGAATGAAATTGACCAAAACTAAGTTTATGACAAATTTGGTCCCCAATAACCATTTGACTATTCAAGACAAAGTGGTAGAACTGGTGGAGAAATATACGTATTTGGGTCATGAAATAAGAATCATCAGGGATAACCAAATATGTGAGATCCAAAGACGAATTACTTTAACATGGGCAGTCTTTGGAAAACTGGGAGACACACTTAGGGCCAACATACCAATCAGCCTCAAAAGAAAAGTGTTTGACCAATGCGTATTACCGGTCATGACCTATGGGGCGGAAACTATGACTTTAACCAAGACCACGGCTTCGAAACTGAGAGTGGCACAGAGACGAATGGAACGGAGCATGCTGGGAGTGACGTTGAGGGACCGAATAAGAAACGAAGATCTGCGAAGAAGGACGAGTATTACTGATGTTGTGGAACGCATAGCGGAACTAAAATGGAACTGGGCAGGCCATGTAGCGAGAATGCACGATTCACGATGGACGAGCAAAATTACAAATTGGAGGCCAAGAGCAGACAAACGCAGTAGAGGAATACCACCTACACGTTGGGCCGACGACATCAGGCGTATCACTAAAAATTGGCAACAAAGAGCACAAAATCGTGAGGAATGGAGAAGTTTAAGGGAGGCCTATGTCCAGCAGTGGACGTGATAAATAGAGGCTGGATGATGATGATGATGATTATTATTTAGTCATAAGTTCTAAGCTTATAGATTAACTGTAGCAATTATGTGTTTATTGTAATTATTGTACACAATATTGTTTGTGTACAATGGCCATTGCAGCCAAGACACTTTAATTAAAAAAAAGAATAAAAAAAAATTATTTTGTAAGAAATTGTATCTTAAAAATAATAATATTAATATTTATTAATTATAATAATATGTAATTAATATTTTTGGGTTATTATTTAAACGAATAGTTTCAAAAACCAAATATGATTGACTCATAGGTTGAAATGTTGAAACGTCAATAAACGTATTCAGATTTCTTTGTTCAGATAGCGTTAAGATTTTCAATCTAAAATAATATAAAGCTTTAAATTATTTTGTAATAAAATCTACCTTAAAAATAATATTATAATTAATTATTAATTATATTAATCTGTAATTATCACAGTATTAATAATTCAACGTATCGTTTCAAGAACTAAATATTATGATTGAAATGCCAAATGTTGGTAGTTCAGATTTATTTCCTAGAGGGCGTCGTTAGTTTACTGGACAAACAGTGTGACTTGTCATCATAATCTTTTATATAGATGGATTCAGGAATGGATTCATTTTATATAGATGGATTCATGGAAATCAGAAGTATGAACTGCTCCAACTTATAATCGAAGGCAAAGTCAATAGCAAAAGGGGACCAGGAAGAAGACGCAACTCCTGGCTTAAAAACCTACGGCAATGGACGAACATGACCTCCATAGAACTATTCAGGGCTGCTACAAATAAGATTAAATGGGCAAATGTAATGGCCAACGTCCTTAAGGATAAGGCGCCGTAAGAAGAAGATAGATGGATTGTCATAGGATTTATACGCTTCTGAAAAAGATCCGCTAAATGTTTAAACAGCTTATCTCTCTCATATTTTAAATGTTCGAAGGATGACATTGCATAATCCCGGAGACTTCCTGGATATCAGCGATGTACAAGTCTCTTAATTCCTCCTTTGAAAAAAGAAGCTAATTAAAGCATCCTCCAAATACTTAACTCAAGAACGATTCCATCTAGGAGATAGAAAGAAATCTTGTACGCTTGAATCTGTTTTGTTGCACAATTCAGCAAATACAATAAAAATCTCTATCTAATAAAAATCCCATTCATTACATTTCATCTAATTAAAAGATATCAGAAAAAAGTCGATATACCGGGAAATATAATCAGATAAAAAGGTTTGTTTCAATTATTTTATTACCAAAAAAATATTTAGTATATTAAACCGGAGAGTATTATTTGTCTATCGCATATCGTAGATATTGTTGTATTTATCTGTAAATAATCCTTATTAGAGCAGTGTACTCTAAATGGGGCAACTGCAGCGATGTTATCTGTAACTTTAATTGTGATATTTGTGTTTGTACAACCAATAGTTTCGGTAAGATTTATGTTCTGTTTATTTGGTTTATGGTTTAATAGGAGGTTATAGTTTTTTTCTATTATAGATTTAGGTTTAATATGTGCTATATTTCATGTTTTACGAGAGGTTTAAGTTGTAGGACTGTCTGGTAAATACAAATAGAGTAATAATCTAAAAAATAACATTGCTTATAAATAAATTATATTCAATTGGAATCTGAGAATAAAGAAAATTATATTCCAAAACAAAAAGGGTTCAAAATATTTAACTGGTCTGCAATATATTTATTCTTCATGGACAATGGTTACGAAAACAGGCTAAGACTACAGTATTGTTGATTTCAGACAGGCATATGATTCCATTCTTCTTCTTAGAGTGCCGTCTCCCTACGGAGGTTGGCAATCATAATGGCTATTTTTATTTTAGAACTTGCTGCTCTAAACAAATCAATCGATCTGCATTGGTACCAATCACGTATACTCTTTAACCATAGACAGGGATAATTTATTTCATCATCATCTTTGGCTCGACAATCCTCTGTGGATCCTGGCCTGCTCTATTTTCATTATATGGCAACGTGTTGCCATCTTCTGATCTCTAGTATCCCTAAGTCGGTCTTAACTCTATCTAAACACCTAATTCGCGGTCGCCTTCTACTTCTTCTTCCTATAGGTGTTTCTGTCGTTAGCTTTTTAGCAATCATATTCTCAGGTATTCGTATCATGTGTCCGGCCCATCTAAGTCGCTGTTTTAATGAACGTTACGATATCTGGTTCATTAAATAGTTGGTATATTTCGAAGTTAAATCTTTTGCGCCACTACCCTTGAGCGTTTATAGATCCAAATAGTTTGCGAAATACCTTACGCTCGAATATTTCCAGAAGTCTTTCATCCTTCTGCGTTAGAGTCCATGTTTCCGCCCTCATAATATATGGAAACCGACCTCAGCAGTGTTTTGTACATAATAATTTTACTTTTTCTTTGGATATTTCTTAAGTGAAATTGTTTTTGGACTCCTTAGTATTCACTATTGATAAGGTTTAATTTTAATTTTTTCTCTTGTTGTATTGGTAGTAGTCACTAGCGAGCCAAGGTATGTGAAGCTGTCAACACCTTCAAAAATATGACTTCCAAGTCTGTTTCCCGTTCCTCATTTGCTATAGGATCCTTAGTAACCAACATGTATTTGGTTTTGTCTTCGTTGATAACTAGGCCGAACTGTTTTGCCGCCGTTTTCAATTCTAAGAAATATTGCTCAATATCTCGCTTTCTACGTCCTATTATGTCAATGGCATTAGCGTATGCTAAAATTTGTATCGATCTATTGTAAATAGTAACTCCGTCTCTAATTCGTGTGTCTCGAACTGCCTTTTCTGAGGCAATGTTAAATAGGTCACAAACCAGGACATTCCCTTGTCTGAGTCCATCCTTTATCCCAAAGGATCGAGAATTTTCTCCCTGTATCCTAACGCTGGCTTTTAGTTAGACATTGTCATTCTCGTTAATCGGATAAGTTTTTCTGGAATACCAAACTCACGCATTGATTGCTATAGTATTGTTTTCTTGACACTGCCGTATGCGGCCTTAAATCCGACGAATAAGTGATGGGTTTTCATGTTAAATTTCAAGGTTTTCTCAGGATCAGTCTTAGTGAATGAATCTGGTCAATTGTTGATTTTCAGGAGTAAATTTGGCCTGGTATTTTCCAACTATGTCAACTGTGTAAACTTGTAGCCTTTCGTATCGTTTCTGGTTATACTGGTAGTTGTCACACTTAAGCTGATCGACTTTTTTATGTAAGAAGGATACCATGCCTTGAGACCATCCACAAGGAGAACTTATTTACATTCCTGAAAATACTCTGAGGTTCTTATTAAAGATAACTGCAATGATTCTTCTTCTCGAAGCTCTAGTCTCGTTAGCTGACTTCACAACTAGTCCCATTGTTATTAAATTTGGCCATATGTTATCTCCCCACAGCATTCATGGGCGTTTTAAGAACCATCACCCTGTCGAGACCCCTTCCGAGATTAACTTGGCAAACGGTTATTAGAGAGCCTGTAACTTAATATTTTGGACGACATCGCTAGCGTTTTATATCTGTTTGGCATTTATTCTCTTATTCGGTAATGGTTACTAGGCTATTGATTATATATTTTAGAAAAGAACTACAACGTTAAAGGGATTTTATTATTTCATATGGTCAATAGACCCCCAATATATAAAACCGCGGAGTGCTACCAGTTAAGGGAGTGCGGTTTTGATAAAGGGTTGAATTAGTTAGTATGCACTATCGTACATTTGAATGAATTCTGTGCACGTTTCGTAAATTTACAAGTACAAATTGTTCAAAATTAAATTTTCTATCGAAATGTCCCCTTTTAAAGTAAAAATAATTTGTTTTGGCAAAAATATATTCAAAAATATTCACTCCGCTCATTTGCGAAACTTTTTCCACAGTAATAGTTAAGCTGTCACCATTTTTTTAGTTCAGATGATAGTTCAATACATTTAACACACGGTTTACCTGCACCCTAAGAGTCATACCCTGTTTGAAATTCCCAGCAGATACTAGCAACGGCTCTATGATGTACATAGGTACTTTCTTCCGCTTGCGAAAATGAAACAGAACTGAGCTTTCGTAGATTAAAACTGATTCGCTTCTTTTAATCACTTTATAATGATCTTTATTTCCCAAAAAATGTGTTTACAATGGAAGCTATTGAAAATTGAACATAGATAAGCTATTGACAATTAGTTTTTGATATATTATTTACTCTTTTTATAGTATTTTTCTTCATGTTATTGTTTAGTTCGACAATGTAACTCTCTTATTTATACATTGATGATTAAATCATGATGAATGATAATCTTTTGTACAACCGTATGATTCTTAAATCCGGTCCTGATAAGCCGCTCGGGGCAAACCGGCAACGTGGTCGGCTGTTCTGTTTGATTTGTGCTGTTCTTACTACGTTTTCCATGGTTATTTTAAACAGGAGAAGTGACAATGCGTGCTCCTTGTTTTAAACCACTGTTGATTTCAACATTTCAACAATATAAGGTATGTTGACGATACAGTTCTCCTAACGGGAACGCTAGTAGAACTACAACATCTCGTTCAAAGTCTCAATATATACTGTAACAGTTACGGCTTGAAAATTAATTTGAAAAAAACTAAATTTATGGTAATCACGAAATCAAAGAACATCAGAGCTAATCTTGTAATAGACAATACAACGATTGAGCGTGTGCCCTGTTATAAATATGTAGGTGCTTGGATCACAGACGATACTGATCAAACAAAAGAGATTAGATGTAGAATAGAAATCGCTAGATCAGTCTTTAATAGAATGCGCAAACTCTTTTGCAATCGTGATATCAATATAAAGTTACGAATACGAATGCTGCGGTGTTATGTCTTTTCTACCCTGTTATATGGAGTTGAGGCTTGGACACTAAAACAGTTGACCATAAAAAACATCGAAGCTTTCGAGATGTGGTGCTATAGGCGCATTCTCAGAATATCATGCGATTCTCAGATATCAAAAGATGCGAAATTCTAAATGAGATAAAAACTAGAAAGATGGAATACTTGGGGCACATTGTGAGAGGTGAAAAGTACGAACTTTTAAGAAACATCATGCAGGGTAAAATTAAGGGCAAAAGAAGTGTGGGAAGAAGAAAAATATCATGGTTTCGTAATCTACGTGAATGTTTCGGGTGTAGTTCGATTGAACTTTTTAGGCGCGCTGCTACCAAAGTCGCAGTGGCCATGATGATTTCCAATCTCCGCTAGGAGTGGCACGAGAAGAAGAAGAAGAAGAAGAAGTATGATTTCAAATGATTCTAACAGGTGGTCTTATTGGTGTGTCGTAAAAAACTGCTTTTTAGAGGTTTTGGAATGGATTTTCTCCATTTTATAGACTTTAAAATAGATCAAATCAATGTTTTTTTATAGGTTATATATTCTAAATTAAATGAGGCCTTCAGTGCATTAAAAAATTCAGACAAAAAATATGAATATTGATTCAGGCTGTGTTGATGTAAAAACATATGTTTAACTCCGCCAAAACTCCTAAGATCCCCAAAAAAACGTTGCTTTTGGGGGTTTTAAAGGTGCTTTTCCAATTTTTAAATCAGAAAGATTTCATTTAATTTAAAATCTATATAACCTACACAAAAGTCTTGATTTAATCTGTTTTAAAATCTATAACATGGTGAAAATCCTCCATAACTCCCAAAAAACAGTTTTTCGAAGTTTTTTTAAGATATATTGAAAATCTTCCGCACTATACGAAAAAATCTGAAAAAAATAATGTAGATATAGCTGTTGATCAAAAACATAGAGTAAAAAAAATGGATCTTCGGCCACCGCTAAAAAAAGTTATAGCTTTTTTTTAAATCAAATCCATTTTTAGGTTATGTACATAACCTAAAAATGGACTAACCTTAAAACTTAACCTACGTCTTGTAAAAGCCTCAACTATGCGTATATTTTTTTTTTATTTTCTTATTTGACCTAAAAAAAAATAAAAAAGAAAAAGTTACGTGTTTGGGAATAGGGGGAGGATTATTTTTTAATCAAACGTAAAAAATTTAATTCTGGGAGTAAAGGTATTTTACTTGGTTTTAGTGGAGTGGTATAATAACGAGAATTTTAGTCTCTTATTAAAAATGATGAAACAAACAAATTTAATAAAAATCTTTTCTTATCAAAAATACTAATACCACACAAATTTGATTTAAATTTATTTAATTTGAAACACATGCATCGTGTTAATTACTCATTCAAAAAATATTTAAATTTATATTATTTTATAGTTTCTGTGAATTAGGTTTTTTTATGAAGCAGGTCTCTTCATATTTGCCATGGTCAGAGACATAAAGATGATTTAATTTAATTAAAAAACGGAAATGTTTCAAGATGTAGTCACGTCGAGATTAATTCTTTTTTGTACATGTCGTTAAAACTGGTAAAACATGAATTGTTTAATTCTGTCGTCGAATGTTGTCTGAATCTTATATATTTTTAGAAAATATTTTTACCAGGCTTTTATTGTAATTTCAACAGTTATTTTTAACCATATTTTTTAAGTTGTAATTTTGGTTGTTTTTCGTTTTAATACCTATATTTCACTTAATTTTTACATTATAGAAGCAGTGCCTTATCAAAGAAGATCTTGTTGATGAAGAACTATGGAATTATTTTGCAAGTTTTTGGTGTTACTACTACACCAGCGACTTAGTATGGAGTTATGACTTTACAGTTACGCAAATTGTTTTTAATAATGAATCCTATTACATGTATGCTTTGGATGTAAGTATAATAATTATTTAAGCAAATTTAAAATAGTTTAAAATGTTATATATACCCTGGTTCTTATGGATATACCTAAAAAACTCGTCAGATTTGTACAACTTACTCTCGCTACCTAAGTAGCTTTAGTATAGAAATATATGGAAACTAACGACTAACAGTCCCCCATCCAATACCCAAGACACCTTGAAAAATTCCTGCTCTTTCCGCGGTAACGAAAGCCCAAAAACAAAAAACTTCACATCCCGTCCATCCTAATGCAGGTATGCATTGACGAACTTCCGGAAGAATACGCTGACATCGTCGAAGCTATTTCACTAACTTGTAGAATCCACCTATAACTTCCAAATCCTTTTCCTTTCCTCCAACGGGGGGAGATTGATTTTTTGCAGTTTCCCAATCTCCCTACTCAACGATACCTGTCCGTCCCTGAGAAAATAGCCGCAACTATTTTCTCACCTACGGGCCTGGTCGTTAGCGGAAGCAACCAATAACATTTTAGTACAATACACTAGTTTTGAAGTTGATCGCAAACGCAAAAATGGCTGGCCGGAACAATGGTCACTAGAGAACACGGTTTTATCCTCTGCCAGCTCAGATTTGCACACATTAAACACTAATCACATATTCACACATTTCACACTCATACTAATCCAACAGTGAAAGGAGTCCTCTTTCTGCTATCGAAGCATCCTCATCACCGGGACCCGCGGCCGACTGCAGCCCCAGCTACTTAACACGGAGTCTGTGGTCGGACGGGGAAAATCTAGGTGATTCGACGTAGCCGCGTAAAATCGAAATTGTAGCGGTCATCAATGTTAGACTAAACACACACACTCACACATTCACACTGGGCGAAATGCGACAAGTCGACTCTCGAAAGCTGAGTCCCCTCCACTTACGAGCATACTCGACCACAAAATGACAGTGCAATACACTAGTTTTGGGGCCGAGTAAAGCTCGAGACTGCACAGGAACAATAGTCACTAGAGACCCGACTCTATCGCTGGATCTAGCTCAAAAACACACACACACACACACTCTGGAAAGAACATCACAATCCAGACAAGCCTTTCACCCCTGATTCAATAGCGACTCCATTTCGACAGCCTCCAAATATTTCATAGAAGAAGAACGCTAACACCCCAGAGGATTCTAGGACTGTTTGATTTTGTATATCTGCTATCACAACACAATCAAACCCAAGCCTGAAAAGGATCCAGCGTAAACCTATCCAGGATCCTAAATGGGTACAAAAATGTTCAATCCCCACGAAATAAAGGATCCTTACCCTATCTCACGAGATGAAGATTGACTGCCTGACGACTTTGAGATCAATAATAGTGCAAGAGAATGAGCATGCTGCATGCATCCAAAGCTATAAAATAAACAAGAAAAAAAAAAGATAAAAATTATATTACCTTATTATTGTCTTCTTTCTTCTTCTGCCAACGTTCTGTTTCTGCATGTTTCTCGACTCCTGGACGTCTTTTTTTGTAGGTACTATTTTTGGCACTGTATCTACTTCGCTGCTTGGCTGTCTTCAGCAAAAACCTGGCTAGATCCTAATTAGATGGTAAATCAGTCTGTATTTTTCCCGGTAGGTACATCCTTTATATCAGGGTTCCCAAACTTTTTTGTATCACGCCCCCTTTTGTTGAAATGAAAGTTTCTGACGCCTCCCACCCCTTAAAAATATTTTGCATGGGCCTAGAAACAAAACAAAAACAAATAAGTATTACATAAAAAATAAAACATTTATTTATACTGCCATAAGATACAATAATATCAGTTTTAATAAAATACTTGGTTAGTGAGATGGATATGCTTGCATTTTCTTTACTGGTATGCCTATTCGTGGCTGAGTGTGTTAGTGCACAATGAAAGTCACTATACTCTGTTTTTTAACCAGGAGGAGTAAACCAAAAAGACAGATTCACACCCAAGAAAGTTACTAGAAAAATCACCAAATAAATCTTCTTTTTTTGTTGTATATCTCGGCCTTGAGGTAATCAAGTAATCAATATCGGACAACCTTACACGTATACAATTCTAACCTAACTTTATGTTTGAATTTTTTTTTTAATTCATTTCCAATATATTACAATAAAAAAGGACGTTTTTCACATTTGGTCCCATGTATATATATTTAAATATCGGGTGATCCAGTTTTATAGATCTTTTGAGTCGATGGTACTTAATTTAGAGAATATTTTGATCCAGAGAGTAAATAATGTTACAGATCTAAGTATGATTTTTCTCAGAAATTTGTCTTTTAATTTGCAAATAGATCTTATATGCAACAAAGCTATGCAAATGCATGTATCAAAACGTTAGAGAGAGTTTAAATATTTCTGAAATACTGTTCTTTTAAACTGCGTAGACCATATTCTTCTTCTGGTGTGATTAATTTCTTGAATCTAGGTTTTCTTTACCAGAAGAATTAACTTTGACTTTGATCATTATTTTAAGCTTAATAATCCAATCTCCTGAATTGCTTCAGCCAGTTTGTTTTACATATTCCTTCCCATTCACTGCTTTAGAATTGACTTTTTCATGTTTTATATCACAGAATAAATTATGGTTCAAATATAGGTGTGTTCCTACTTTTCATGCATGGTAATCAGTTACCTCATTAGATAAATTTAACTTATGTATCAATATCTTAAGGATCTATTTGAAGCACTAAAATGCAAAACAATAAATTTGTATAAATAAGTGTGTACTTGCAATTTCTTTAATGCTGGATTCTTGTTTAATTTTGACAGTAAGTTTGTCCCATTTGTTATCAATAAATAAAATTTACTAAAAAATACTGGATTTCTGTGAGATAATCAACTAATTCAATCTATTATGTTACATTCTAGTATAATTTTGTAGTTTTCTTGTGGTGATCTACAACAGGAAGAACAAAACCAACTGTATCAATACAATCAAAGTAAAACACAACATTACTAATGTTCTTTTATTGTGATGAAAACAAAATGAAAATGCTTCTTAACAAGTATAAACAAATTTAAAAGATAGTTGCCGTTTTTCTTATGATAATTAGATATAAATATCATACATTTATAAATTTATAAACACTGTAAACTCTATTTATTATATATATATCATCTAAAAAAATATCACATTAAATACTATTATCGCATATCACCAAGTCCAAGTTATTACAAAAACAACTTAAAGAGTCAGAAATCGATTTATATAATATTCTGTGCATAATATATATTCGGAATGAATGTAAAAATAAAAATTTAATAATTTTATTAGTCTTCCAAAATCTCTCCATTTATGTCTTGGTGAGATTAATGAAAAACTACACCATTTTGAATTTCTTGATTTATTTTTTCAGCAAAAACTGAATATATTTCAGATATTTGAGCAAGAAAGTTTTGTTTTTGGTCAGCAGCCCAATGTATAAACTATTCTTTGAATAATTTCCCCTAAAAAATAACTATGGTAAGACATTCATAATATAGACAATAAATCAATCATCCTATAAACAGTAAGATAAACAATCTATAGTTATGCTATGTAATATTTGCTGCATTGAATCTGCATATGTAAAGTAAAAATATCCTTTTTTTTTTCTTTTCTTTCCTTTCCATGTTCTTATATCTGTTGAACTATTTTACTATATAATTGTAGCTAATCCATATTTACATACCCATATTTGTACTTACTTCAAATCGATTTGCTTAAAGAATTTATATAATAATGAACGACACAGATTTAATTTCACTTAAAATTTTACCTAAAAAGTGAGCATTTCATTCTTGAAAAAGAAGCTGTGTATTTGTCGTATAGATGCTTTAACTCTTTCATCCTATGTTGCAAGAATATAAGGTCGACCTTCAATATTTTTAGGACATTTTACTGCTCCAGTCTGCTTACATTCTTTAATTGTTCTAAATTCTATTATTGTAAAGAGTTGAATTCGCAACACCTAAAATTAGCACTACTTTAGTAAGTCTTGATTTTAATAATAACTATTCTGTAAAACTAACCTGCTGCCTGTTTTATTTTTACTACCGTGGCTGTTATCAATTTTCATGTTTGTACATGTTTATAGTACATTATTTCTCATTTAATGATAAATGATCCAAATTACTCGGTGTTTTTAAGGTGGAGAGGAATAATTATCACTAGTACTTGGCATTGAATCCATATTGTTATCTTAATAACATTAATATGTCGCTAAATAGTTCTGAAAAGAACTGTTTTCTATATAAATGCAAACGAAAAATCTAAAGATGTAAGAGATAACACAGAAAATACAGAAAATTGTCGATATAAATTTTGAATTTTAAAATTTCACAAATGTCATTAGTGTCAATATGTCATAATTTAGTGGAGTAAACTTGCCTGCGCTTCGACCAATTACAAACAAGCATTATGGCGCGGAAAATTTGAATTGCTCCTCCTGGTTTAAAAACAGACCATAGCAGCATCAACGTTATTCTGATACTTTGTTTTAATTGCCACAAGTGTTAAAAATATTTTTTCTCACAAATATGTGCTTTTGAAAAAGGCAAATATAAACGAAGAGCTTCCCGTGATACACTAGGAGACACTTTGAAATATTTTAATCAAAATAAGGTTTGTCATTATACCAAAGTTGTATTTGGCAGAGAAATCATGTTTTATTTGCAAAGCATCTTCTTGAAGTGATTAAGGCAGGGGGTCTATGTTGAAATGTAATGGGTCAATTGAAATTCTAAAAATGCTATCGTCACAACTGTTTGGGAAGTATTTCTGGAACTCTTTGATTAGGCTCTCCAAATGGTTTGTAATTTGGATTTTCAAACTTGATCCTTCATAAATGTCCTTGAAGCGTGTTTCTTCTGAGATTGATGGAATTGACTCTACTTTAGGGAAACTAGAATAATTGCGGGGGTTTGCTGATATTCTACGCCTCCAAAGTTGCAATCTCTCAATATACATTTTGATCGCATCACGATAAGTAACTCTATATTTGAGTCTCGAAGCTGTAGTTT